TGTTTGGCCATCGTATCGTTATCCCCAGAAATCTTCGACACCAAGTCATTAAACAGTTCCACAGCGGGCATCCGGGGATAAGTAAAATGAAGTCACTAGCTCGTAGCTATGCATACTGGCCGTCAATGGACCATGAGATAGAGCAAAAATGTCGCAGCTGTTGGTCCTGTCAAGAGGCTGCAAAGAATCCAACGAGAGCTGAGCCACAACCATGGCCTAAACCGGACGGGCCTTGGCAAAGAATACATGCTGATTTCGCCGGACCGATACAAGGTAGGAATTACTTAGTTGTTGTAGATGCTTTCACAAAATGGCCGGAAGTATATGACATGCCGAATACGACTTCAGAGAGTACCATAAGAAGATTGTCAGGATTGTTTGCCTGTTTTGGGGTTCCAGAGATCTTGGTGACTGACAATGGTACTCAGTTTATGTCATCTGCCTTCAAACGCTTCTGCAACGAGAATGGCATATTGCATCTACAATCTCCTCCATACCATCCTCAGTCGAATGGCCAGGCAGAAAGATTCGTGGATACAATTAAAAGAGCTCTGGTCAAAGGGGGAGGTGAGGGTGTCCCGGAACAAGTGATAAATAAGTTCTTGATGTCTTACAGAGTTACCCCTAATCCGGCAGTACCAGAAGGAAAGTCTCCGGCCGAGTGTATGTTCGGAAGGAAAATCCGGACAGTTTTTAACAGTATGTTGCCGCCCAGAAAGACAAATAAACCCACGAATGAAAATCGTAAGGTCAATCGTAGCTTCCAGGTGGGTGAAAAGGTACTTGTCAGATCGTATCAAGGTAATAGGAAGTGGGAACCAGGTGTCATCGAACGTCGAATCGGAAATGTGCTGTACCTAGTCCGGAAAGATGTCGGGAAATGCATAAGACATATAAATCAAATGCAAAGAAATGATAGTACAGTGGTCACAGAAAACCGGCTTCCATTTCAATTGCTCGTAGATTCGTCTCAGAAGAACCATCATGAGCGCAAATATCGAAAAGACAAACGACGCAGAGAGAAGGCTGTACAACCTTCGAGAGTAATGGACCGCAAGAGGAATGCGACACCCAAGCTTCAGGTGGATCCAAGAAAAAAATCTTACACAACGGACTTTAAAGGGGGGAGGTGTGACGACGGACCACCGGTGAACTCGAGGAAGCTGTAAGAGGCTCATAAAGAGCCGAAGACGTTCCATCCAATCACCTTTCGGAAGAATGTTCTAGAATTCCAACGTGTAGCTTCCCCATTGGATAATGCTAATAACCCCCTGTACGCGGATTGGAAGACTGTAATGATGATTTCGTTCTCACTAAAAACTATAAATACCTGACAATTTTGTACTATGTTTGACACTGTTTGGAATAATATTCCTTTCGTTAGTCTTCTGTCTTCTTATTTGCGACTTGGAAGGGTTTGGTGTTCTAGTGCTCAGTTATACGCGGTAGTATCCAGAAAAATCAGCTTTTTCAAGTTATAACAGAATGGTAACCGTTAGGAATTATTTATGGCCTAATATTATACAAATATCCTTACTGTATGACCATTAATGAACTATATTTTATATATATTCATATTCCTTTCACTATAAGCTTTTGTTTGACCTATTGGTTACTGTTATATGATTTACTGTTCTCGAGTTATTCTCAATCTATTAGTCGCAGTTTCTCACAATCACAGCCACTTTTGGCTTGGTCTTGTACGAATGCTGTTTCCTATTTTATGGTGTGATGTGGTTTGATTTCGCTTGTGTATAAACCAAGTATGTTTGAAATACATGATTTGTACTGCGGAGGCTGAGATTGGCGTTCTGAACTTAACAAGTAGGGCTAGGCGAAAAAGAACCAATCGGATCTTTTATTTATTTATTTATTTCAACACATAGATATTGGTACAAAGAGGCACCAAATACATATGCGACACACAAATCTCATTCGATATGTGTGAGGGCTGTGATACTGCCCGGGTGCCCAAACCGAAGCAGGAATCGGAACTTTAGTCTGCTCGTGCTGGAGTATGAGTCATTAGTTTAGTCGTATAAGTCAGCGTATCTAAATTGGCATTCGTATTTTGCGATAATCATTTAGCTAAGAATATAAAAGTATTAACTTGTAATGTGTAAAACTTAATTATTCCAATGGTGAAATAAGATCACAAGATAGACAGACATCATCATCCATTGCGAAACATTTGATTGAGACGGGTCATAAGGTTGATATCAAATCAGCATTTGTTGTGTTGTACAAAAGCCTTCAAGGACGTATACGAAGGTTTATTGAAGCCTTGGCTATACAAAAATTGAAACCCCCTTTATGTGTTCAAAAACAATTTGTACTTACACTTAACCTACCCTGGTAGTACTGATTTACTGTCCAGAGTGGTAATCATATTTGTTTTTATGTACTTTAATATTTTTCCTTTGTTATGACTTACCCTTAACCTGTCTAGTTGACCTTTTAATTTTTCATATATAAATGTTCTTAACAAGTATATGTGTGATCAGATTGTTCGAAATGTATTGCGCAAATATATCACATAATCCTGATAAACTACGTCTTCTCATTGGATTATCGAAATTTATCAAAGGGACTAATTGTTTTAATTATTTTCTGTTAACTTTAGATCATGCTTAACACATATCTGCCTTATTAAAAATTATCATAAACTTAATTGACTCAAGATAAGGTCGTTCATTAGGTATATATGAACAGCTGGCCAGCCTTCTTTTTGGAGATACCCAAGTCAGAGCTACACGTAAAATGATAAACAATAACAGTCAACCGGTATAACTAATAAAATTCAAAATCATTTCCTGAAGTGTAACATATTTATCCAAAAAATGTTTCTCAACGGTTTGTTTCTTAAATGCTCATATATATATATATATAGTGTCTTGCTAGCTGTTATATTATTGATGTTCATCTTATTTTTTATGCTGTTTTATTTAATGGAAAATAGTCTTGATACACTTTCATTAAAAGTTATACTTGATTTAAAGTGTTTACCATTTCTATGCTATGCTTGCTAAGAAATCTGGTGCAACGCAAACTTTTATCATATTATTTTAAGAGTTAAGCGTCTTTTTTAAGCACGAAATGTTTTATATATATGTATTGATCATGATTATGACCAACTTCTCACTTGTCTATCATAATTTATAGGTAATTCATTGGTTAGTGGCCAAAATAAGTTAATACAAATAAAAGTTAAGGCGTTACCTTATCTTTTATTGTTTACATGGTGGTTTCCTTTGTAAGGGTTTCTGTTAACCTATTTTTCTACAGTATTTTAAATTTGTGTAACGTTTCATTAAATACGTATTTCATTCAAACAGTAGTCGCTTTTTTCAGAAACGTCTGTTGTGCTCAACAACAAATATATATATAGAAAAGTTCGCAGGCTTTGTTTTATTCTTTCAATAATCCTATTAGTTAATTTTCCTTAGAAATAACTAATTTATTTTCACTGAATTCTCGTTACTTTTCTGCCATTCAAATAAGTTTAAAATGATTAAGCCTTCCGCAAATCAAATAATTCATTTTAACAGTCGTATTGAACATATTATTTAAAAATTCTATATGAATTATTGAATGCAGGTTTAATATCTTGAGATGGTGGAGATTTGTAGCTCAGGTAGATGATTTTGATGGAGTTTTGTTCTCTGAGCTGGATGGTTTGGTCGTGGAGCTTTCATCGTTCTTCTGAACGACATCATCAACACAAACTTCAGGTAGAAGTGGAATGTTTATTATGTTCTACTACATACATTTGGTGTCCGTAATCTTTAACCGCTTGAATGTATACACCTTAATCTACGCATTTATGAATGTTCATAAACATTGATATGTAGAGAGTAATTACGATGTTTTTGCAAAACTGTCGACTTCTTTTTAGTTTTTAACATAACGTCATCACCTAGGTAACTGTTCGAATTTCAAGTTCACAAAATAATGTCCGATTCTCACTCGTCTTTTGTGTGAATAATATCTCCACGTTCCATTTATTTATTCCTTAAAAATTTAATGTAAATACAACTCCATAAAATGTTTTCATTTTCCTGTTTCTCACACCTATGTGTCATATTTTTTTCCTAAATTCGTGTTATAAACCATAAAAGTAAGAGCAATTGATTCACATAACATCTCTCGTTTCAATGAATTCATTTCTATAAGCTGTACAATCTCAAATATATACTTTTTTATAGTGATAATAAGTAATATATTTGTCAAAAACATTAATTTAGTAAGCATAGGGAAGAAAACCTACTAGGAAATTGAAAAATCTTATTGTTGGAATCATAAAACTCAATAAAAACGTAAAGAAGTTAAAGAGTAATAGTTCAGTAGGGGTATTGTATAACACGATAAAATAAAATATTGGGATGAAATATCATCAGGAGGTGATGGAAACAAAACAAGTTGGTTAAACGGTCATTGGAAGAGGGTAATAACTTGGGGAAACTAGAGGTTGAACAGATTTCTTTTGTGTACAGTTTTGGCCTAACTAGATGCATGAAAAATAATCCGCCAACCCTAAGAATACATAATTTCACTGTTTTTGATGGATTTGTGTTTCCCTTATAAGTGTCTTTCAACCCTAAGTCTGTATTTGATTGAAGGATTCGTGCTCTTAAGTTGTTCAACTATAGGGCTCCTTACTCATCCATCTTCTTGGACGGAAGACTCGTGAACATGGTTATAAAAACGTAAATATTGATTCTGTGAGCTGCAACGATAACCGCTTATTGAATCATACTTTCATGTCTATGAACCATAAAAACTCATCTGAAGTAAATTCAATTAAAACTGAAATTTCACTCTTAGTTGTACATGAGCCTCAGTTGATCAGTGATTTAAAAAGTTTTATTAATTATCATTACATATTAAATATCAAATCAGATCTGCTTGGCATGATCAATATTTAAATAGTTAGTGTTGGCAACAGTTTCTTTAATTATCAGACATATGATCTTATCTTTTTTTTTAAAAAACCTCTATAGGATCGTCTGTTGATGGTGAAGATAATTATTATAATAGTTCAGATTCCATTTTAACTGTGCTGCAATTAGATTGTGAAATAACGAATGCTACATTATTACAATCACCTGTATATAATTCTCATGAAAAACGCTCACCTAATAACCATTAATCAATTATTTATTTAACTCCTTTTTTTGAATCCATCTTTTTCTGCTTTCATTTATATTCGTAATGATTATTTTGTATATTTTTTCCTTCAGTGTTTTCATTGTAAACTATTCAACGTGTTCATTGTTAAAAATTTCATATCTCATTTCACTGAATAAAGAAGTTGGTTGTTTTTTTTTCTTTTCGTTTTACCATAACGTTACTTACATTTCAATGATCCTAATTTATGTTATTATAGTCCGTGTCCATTTATTTATGATCAATTATATTGTTCTGTTTTACTTCTTGTATTATTGTTTCTTTCCTCCTCCTTGTCATGATCAATTTTCTGTGTTGTTTCTTTTTTTTTTTAATGTTTATTTATAATAAAAACCATTTTCCTTTAAGAACACAACCATAATAATAAACACTCAATTCATCTTTAATTTATTCATACTGTTTAACATATTTTTCTTTGTAATTTTTAACTAATGTATGTTAGTTAATTGAGTGCAATGAAAAAAATTGAGAAAAAAAAAAGTTTGCTAATATTATTTATTTTCTAAGTTATTATATAGTAGTATGTAAACACTAAACTATTGTGTCATTTTAAATAATAAATTATTATTTCGTATTGTATCTTTATCATTTTCTGATGTTTTCAATTTATTGTTTAAACAGAACAATATTGAGTTACACTGTTCTGTATTCATGGAGAATTGACTAAAAGTCAAGTGTACAGTAATCAGTTACATGTTTTCAAAATAATAGATGTAATCAGAAAGGGGAATTCCTTCAATACAGACATATAAAACACAGAAATTTGAGTATAGTACGAACTCCAGCCAGGAATTCTGCAAATTCCGACAGCTCCAACCAGCAATCTGACTAAATTTGACCAATATAAGCGCTTTCCAAATCTTTTATGTTAACAAGCACTGTATATCATGCTAGGCGGTGGTTAAGCAGACGTAGCATTTATGACTTAGTAAATGGATTTCGTCTTTTTACTGTGCTGTATTTTAGCATTAGTTATTGGTTCTTTAACATGTATAGGTATCCCTACGTTCAAAATAGTGAAAAGAAATGAGCATTTGGTCCACAAGTCGAGGGCTGAAGTCAGTCTGTTTTTTTTCTGGTTTACTTGTCCTGAGCTCCAACCTACGGTCAAATGTTTATGGATTTTATATTTTAAACGCTATACTAGTCATAATTAATCACTTTCTGGATAATACGAAAGGAATTTTTTCCTTTCTACTAAACTGAGAATGTCAACCATCGAGATTAATCAGATAGAATTATATCTAGCTTCCAATTAGTATTATCAATCTAACCGCTAAAACCAGATTATCATATCTATAAACATCCAGAGTTAACCTGTCAGTTCTTGTAGATCTTTTTCACTTCAAATTAGATATGGTTTTTTGAACCTAGCAAAGAGCTGATAATCCTGTGTTAATCTCATTCAGGTACATGCTTACGGTTTCCAATTCAAATAATTGCTTTAATTATATGTTAATTGGTTATAACCTAAATCTGGTAATCGAAAACATGTCACCGGATCAAATTGTTTTTGGTCGCTAGAGATAAAAGAGGGTTATAATCTATGTTCAGAGAAATATACAAACACTAATAACAGAAGACACAACTGGTACTATTGGTCATTCATAACGACACAGATTCATACCAATGTTCCTAAGACTACTGACAGCTTTCAATTAACAATAAGTTACGCTGTTCAGCAAACTGTGCGGTTATGTGGGTCAATCCTCGTTTATAAATTTGTTACAAATTTAAAAAGAATACACTTATTATTCTATACCAGGCAAATATTTTAATGATGTTTACAACTTAATAATGCTTTATTCGAGTATCGAATTTATCGCAAAACTTGAGAAAAAGTGATACCTAGGTATCTTCCAAAAATATGATAGGGTCTGCCAAAGTTATACCCTTCGTAAACAAATTTAGCCCTTACAAAAGATCCCACAGATTTTTTACGACAAGCCATGAATATGGTTTTTCACATCGCACTATGATGGAGTCAGAGAGCTATCCCCGGCAGTTACTTGAAAATGATTGTCAAAAGATAGAGAAATGTATTCAAAAAGATGAGCTGCTGAAAACTAAGTAAAAAATAGTGTTAATGGACCACAAAAGAAAAAGAATATATCAATCCTATTTTGTTAGAAAACTAGTCATATGGCAAGGAGGATTAGTCGACATTAAGTAGATTAATTTTCATAGCTAAAGGATTTGAAACTCTTGCAATGAAAAGTTCAAAAAAAATGCGAACAAGAACGTATAATATAAGTCAATCATGAAAAATTACGTGATAAAACGGGTGAACTCAAAGGACAGAAATGCATGTATATAGTCCTTTATAAAACATATCTCAGTCGATAAAGAAGTCATCATAACCACTTGCGCGATAATGAACATGACGTGAATCTAAAAAAGTGAACAAACAATCCAGTTTTATTCCTAGGATTGAGAGAAATCATAGTGGTTTGAAATGTTTGGATGACATAAATGGATTATGTCAACATAGATTATTAGCTTCAACTATAAATGTTCTCTTCAATCTCCATATATTTTTTATAAGTCTATTATGTGTTGGTGTGATACAGATTGGATTGAAGCATGTTCAGTGCAGTATTGAAGTACGCTGATTGACTATTTCTTAACCAGTCAACGCTAGCGGATACTTGGGGAAAACTAGAATAATCTTGTACAAAAATCATAAAATACACTAACGTTTCTGCACAATAGTGTTCTGATTTGGAGACTTGTCGAGTGAAGTAGTCCAGAAATATTAAGCAATGAAAGCTTATATGAGCGTCATAACATTATGCCATAAGATTACTCTCTCCACTGTTCTAAGGCTATGACCATAACTTCATAAATTTAAACTTCGTTCTGGTTCTCATGCTGAATGAACGACTGTTTAGCGACAAACAGTCCATTTTCCAGGTCTGTTAATATCTATTAAAATATATATTATCATCAGGAGTATCGAGTTAGGAAGAAACAGCTATTCAATGTTCCTTAGTATTCAGCGGTCTTCCAGCTTAACAGGGCTTGATATAGATAAAAACAAAGCAAAAGAGACTTACCAAAAACATTTCATCAGTAGAAGAAAGCTAAGTACTAAAAAATGTTTCTCAGATAAACTATCAAACCTTTCCAAGGTTAAACGTGGTAAAATTGATTGCAAAGTATAGATTTCACACAACGAATTGTTGAATCTGAAGCATATTAGCTGATTTGTATCTATATAATCCCAGTGTTAATTTCTGATATTAGGATAATCTAAGATATACATGTATATATCCTTTGCTTTAGTTTGGGTGGATGGTTTTAAGCACTAAACATAGAGCTACACTGAATCGACCACTTTCTCATATAATGAAATTAATCATACACTAACTGAATGTAAAAACGTTTATTTGAAAATGAATGTCTGAAAGTAGAAACACTCTTCAGTGATCAATACAAAAAATGGTGCTACTGGGTCATATTTATATACTCGTTTAGAAACAAGAAATTTAGCATTGTTTTCAAGTCATAATTACACATCTATATTAGTTAAAACTCAGGTAAAGCAGATTCCAAGAAATACTTTTAAAGAAAATTAAAATCATGTCTACCTTAACTATGCATCACAGATATTGTAGCTATTAAGATACTTGTATAGCAAGCGTCACCAAATAAATAAAAGTAGGTGTAAAATATTTGAGTTTTTGGTTGAATAAAATGTGTCACAGAAATGAAACACTTCCTTCTTAACTTATTCCAGTATTCAACTTGACTATTGAACGATTTATAGACATTACCATAAATGGAGAAGTGTTATCTAGGTTACATACAGTAGTAGACTTAGGACTTAGATATTCCCAAGACTTGTCGTTTACAGAACATATATTAAAGCAAACCTCTAAGTCTCAACGTCTAATAGGTTACATAACTCGAAATCTTTACAACACTGAGTCACGTATTCTAATGTACAAAGTTTGTGCTCGACCTCTTCTAGAATATTCTTAGCAGTGCGGGCATAAAGGATAAATTAAGGCTGGAATCAGTACAGAGACGATTTACACTTCGTATTCTTGGAGCTGATTGTACCTTAACTTATAATTCTAGATGTAATAAACTTGGGCTAGACCCTTTATGAAGGAGGAGACTCAAACTAAATCTTATCTTTTTCTTCAAACTACTTCATAAAATATCGTTTACATGCGATCACGCGATTCAATATACAGAAACCTCTCATTATGACATCCGTAATTCTTTGGCACTAGTGAAACAAACTCATTCTAAATCATCTCTTTATATGAATTACTTCACCTGTAAATTTTCTAGACTCTGGAATAACCTACCACAATCTATCCGCACGACAAAATCACTCCCATTATTTGTTCGCTGCATCGATGCATACTGCTCCTCTGAAAATGCATTGAATGGTCTAGCGTCTTTATGTGTATCTCATTCCACAAGTGATATTTTAGGAACCTTAAATGTTTAGCCATCTTTATTAGTGAATTCCCTTAGTAAAACCACCCACTTGCTGTCAATGTGTTAACACCGCCCCTAGCAACTTTAACTAATTTGAATAACATCAACAGTACATCACTGTGTCACATGACACGCATTTAGGTAGACCTGATTGATATATTTTGGTAATTACTTTTTCATTGTTCCGTGCTCTCTGTTTTCGTTTTAATTTCTCTAGTTGTAGATAATTATCATTATTTCGATTTGGCACACAAATTGACCTTAATTACACCGTTCATAAATCAACAGGCTGTCCATTTAAGAAATATTAAAAATTCCCGGCTGATGCATTGGATCGCTGTAATATATGTACTACTTAAACAACTACTGAACTAGTATACTTAAAACTTTCTTCTATCACATGTTTGTTCTGTACATCTAATGTCACTATTTATACTAAATTGACCATGCCTGTAAACTGGCGTGAATTTTGTAATTATTATTTACCAGAATATAAATTATTATTATAAATAGGGAAAGCTAGGTACAGCTAAATTTAGGATAGATAATAGGATTCTAAACATTTTATGAGATCCAAACCATCAACCCTCGAACCCGGATAAACCCATACAAATGACTGATAAAAAAATTTCATACATTTTCACTTTCGACATATTTGAAAATAATAATTGGCACTTTCTAATAACATGTGTAGGAGTTAATGTTTTACTTAATTTAACCAAGTAGTCATATATTATTTCTTTATTATATATATGAACAGAAATCAAATATTGTTTAGTACGGACGGGCTACTGAGTTTTTTAAATATTTTATCTCTTACGTAGGATTCGTTTCTTTGAGGGATATTGTACACACAATGAAAGACTCAAACAGGAACGACACGGCGTCTAAAAACAATCAAAAGGCAACCCGACACGCTTCTATTTATGCTGAAAATCCCCCCCATTTTAATCTGATTCACTATCCCAACGTCCTATAGAGATTTTAGGTACCGATCACAGGATACTAGAAAATTACATGTATACTGTTTACAAGCATAGATGGTGACCAACTGTTCACAGCTAATATCCGCAGATGATTCTGATTCTCTCGTTTACAACCAACCCATTTTCATTTGCATGATTTAGTTGCGGCTCGTATGATTCTAAGTTTTAATTCCTGCGTAAGATTTATTAGTTTCCTCAAGTTATAATTAAAAATGACTGAAAATTCAATTTGTAACTGGATTATGATCAATTGAAACAGAGCTGTACTAGTTCTCCTTATTCCGATCATTAATTTTTTTAACCATCAAAATCTTTGGACTGACTTTCTATGAATCGATATGATTGCTTACTTCAAATTACATCCATACCACATCTTCTTATTATTATTTATCACATCAAATAATCGTTAACATATATTTTACTCGAGTTAAGTCTGATTTTGATGCTTATGATTGTAAGATCCAAGTACAATAAAACCGCATACAACAAATAATCTCGTGAACTCAGTTAGTTATAATTGACTTTCGTTTTACAGGTTACTAATTATTGATACTTTTTATTTAAAGAATTTTTAAGGTACACTTTCTACATCTATAGTAATTAATTACATATTGTTTAACAATTAAAAATCAATTCCAATGCTAATTACCACATATTTTCTAATCATGATAAAATCATTAATAATTTAACTATTCTATTAACTTGGTGAACCGTGATTTTATGTTGCACTCATTCTAGATTTCATCGACCAGCTTTACAGATTAAATTGATTTTTTGAACTATATAAATTTCTTTTTTAAAAAAAAAACAGATTTATTTCATCAATTTAATGGATTAATTCAATATTTAAGGGTTAAACAAACATGTTTATTAGTGCTCCGTAATCATACTAGAATAATAAAGAAACACAAAAGAGAGAAAAAAACAACTGTTGAACTAAAAAACAAAAAAGCAAACCAATGATAATAAATAATGATGAATTATTGTCTTTCGTATAAATTAATATAAGAGAATAAGAATTAAACTGAGAAACGATATTATAAAATAATATATAGAAAGGATAGAAACGGTCATTCCTATTTAAAACTACTATCGTACAATACCAATGGATACAAAGAAGATCAGTCCAATTGTACAAAAAAATTTTAAAAAAAAACAAAAAAAACAATAAACAAGTTTAAAATCAAATTACAGTTGGGTTTTTTCGAACAAAAAAAAGAAAACAGATCAAAACGATAAATAAATCATAATGAAATAACCAAAGGAAAATATTATCATGCTTGTCACGTATATAAGAAAGAATAAAGTTTTTTTTCGAGAAATAAGTATCAAGTAAAAATGTACATACTTTCCTAATTTTTTTTTCAAACATTAACCAAACCGCCTAATAGATACATATGAAAATAAACAGTTGAGACAAATTAGTTGATAGTTGCTTTAATTGTATACACAATATTGTCTCCCGTACACACATACATTTGTGTACTAATATAAATTGATGACATGTATATCATAAAATAATTTGATTTCTGGCACTTTGTGATAATTCTTTATGTGGTAGAACTATACAGTTCAGAACAATAACTTCAGGAGGAATTTCCACATTGGAGCCTAAGACGAAAGTAAATCAGGGAAAAAAGTTATAGATATCAAATTTAAACAACATATATACGATATGAACAGTAATCCGATTCTATAAGCCATAAGACTGACTGACTTTTAGTTCTTACAACTTTATGAAATGAAATGTTTATTTAGGCATTGAATACAGCTTTGAAATGTCAATTTTAAAGGAATAAAAAAACACCTACATTATTAAACAGAAATTACATTATGTTTCGAATAAGTATTCTAGCAAGTGAATCTTTGAACGTAATCATCTGACCTCAAGTGTTTTGGTACAGCCGAAAGTGTAAAACGTTCTCTCTCATTCTTAAAATGCTCTTATAAAACCCCGTGGTCATAGGGTTCATCTTCACGTGCTGAAGATGTATTTGACGAAAATAATAGAGTAGAAAGTGAACGTACGGCCTTAAACCCAGTTGGTAGATGTAAAGCGTTCACCTTAAGGAGCTGGAAAATCCTGATTTTCAACTAGTGTAGAATGACCAACAAGAAACTGGAGAGACGACAGCTATGTTAACCAAACTTAGTCACTGGCTTCCATTGGGTTGCACGCACTGTAATCGCCTAGGAAAACTGATTTTTTCGCCTGAGGCTATCAGGTAGCATTTCATTCTACTCACAAATATGATAATCGATAATTACAGAAAAATGATCGATTTGCTTTCATTATTACTAGCTAACCCGATATTTGCTGTCTTACTTACTTACGCCTGTTACTCTTAATGAAGCATAGGCCGCCGACCAGCATTCTCCAACCCACTCTGTCCTGGGCCTTCTTTTCTAGTTCCATCCAATTCTTGTTCATTTTTCTCATGTCTATTTCCATTTCCCGGCGTAATGTGTTCCTTTTTCTTCCTCTTTTCCTTTGGCCTTGAGGGCTTCAAGTGAGGGCTTGTCTTGTGATGCAGTCGGGTGCTTTCCTCAATGTGTGTCCTATCCACTTCCAGTGCTTCTTCCTGATTTCTTCCACTGGGATCTGGTTTGCTCTCTCCCACAGTAGGTTGTTGCTAATAGTGTTCGGCCAACGGATCCGAAGTATTTTGCGTAGACAACTGTTAATAAACACCTGTATTTTCTGGATGATGGCTTTCGTAGTTCTCCAGGTTTCCGCCCCATACAGTAGAACTGTCTTGACATTTGTATTGAAAACCCTGACCTTGGTGTTGGTTGACAGTTGCTTTGAGTTCCATATGTTCTTCAATTGTAAATATGCTGCTCTTGCTTTACCGATCCGCGCTTTCACATCCGCATCAGATCCACCCTGTTCATCAATGATGCTGCCCAAATATGTAAAGGTTTTATATCATCCAAATCGTCTCCGTCAAGTGTAACTGGATTGGTGCATGCTGTGTTGTATCGGAGAATTTTGCTTTTCCCTTTGTGTATATTGAGACCTACTGCTGCTGAGGTTGCTGCTACACTGGTCGTTTTCTCCTGCATTTGTTGTTGCGTGTGCGATAGAAGAACCAGATCATCTGCGAAGTCTAGATCGTCCAACTACATCCTAGATGTCCACTGTATCCCGTACTTTCCAGTCGATCACCAGAAAGAGAAAGAGTGAGAGTAAGCAACCTTGCCTGACACCGGTCTTTACCTCGAACGAGTTTGTCAACTGTCCTCCATGCATGATTTTGCAGTTTAATCCATCATATGAGTTCTGTATGATATTGACTATCTTCTGAGGCACGCCGTAGTGTCAAAGAAGTTTCCATAGTGTTGTTCTGTCCACGCTATCAAATGCCTTTTCGTAGTCAATGGAGTTGATGTAGAGTGATGAATTCCATTCAATTGATTGTTCCACAATGATCCGTAGAGTTGCGACTTGGTCTGTACACGATCTATCCTTACGGAATCCTGTCTGTCGGTCTCGAAGTTGGGCGTCTACACTGCCCTTCATCCTGTTTAACAATACCCTGTTGAAGACTTTTCCCGGCATTGAGAGAAGAGTGATGCCCCTGTAGTTATCACACTTGCTGAGATCGCCTTTCTTTGGTATTTTGACCAGAAGTCTTTCTTTCCAGTCTGTTGGTACTTGTTCCTCATCCCAAATCTTATTGAAGAGAATTGGGAGTATCTTTGCAGTAACTGCTATGTCTGCTTTCAGTGCCTCTGCTGGAATGTTGTCTGGTCCTGCTGCTTTGCCACTCTTCATTTGTTTGACGGCCACACTGATTTCTTCAATTGTTGGTGGGCCAACATTGATTGGGAGGTCCGTGGATGCTGCTTCGATATTGATATTGGGTGGGTTCAGTGGGGCTGGTCGATTCAAGAGTTCTTTGAAGTGTTCTACCCACCTGTTTTGTTGCTCTTCAATGTTGGTGATTACCTCGCCTTCCTTACTTTTCACTGGTCGTTTTGGTTTACGGTGATTTCCAGACAGTTTCGTTGTTATGTCATACAGTTGTCTCATGTTTCCTTCTCTTGCAGCCTTTTCCGCCGTCATTGCTAAATCTTCCACATATTTACGTTTGTCAGTTCTGATGCTCCTCTTCACTTGTTTGTTTACTTCTGTGTATTCAGCTTGTGCCTTGGCTTTTTCTGCTCTTGTTCGACTGGTATTGATTGCTGACTTCTTGATCCGCCTTTCTTGAATCTTGTCCAGTGTATCAACAGTGATCCATTCCTTGCGATGGTGCTCCTTGTGGCCCAGAACCTCATGACATGTTGAAATGATTGCCTCTTTTATCCCCTTTCAGTTGCTCTCCATAGTAGTTCCTTCTCCATTGAGTAGATCATGAAAGGCCTGAAACTTATTGCTGAGGGCTATCTTGAATTTGTTGAGTTTGTCAGTATTCAGAAAAAAAGTTGTATTGAACTTTTGAGATATTGTCTGCATCGTTGTCCAGTAATTCTAGAGTTTCAATTTCATCTTGGTGAACAGCAAATAATGATCTGATGCTATATCAGCTCCTCTCTTGGTTCTCACGTCCTCCACCATCCTCCTGGACTTTTTGTTGATGCAGATATGGTCGATTTGGTTTTGCGTAGTGTGATCCGGTGAAGTCCATGTGGTTTTGTGAATGCGTTTATGTGGGAATATAGTACCGCCTATGACCAGTTTATTGAAGGCATATAGGTTTGCAAATCTCTCACCATTTTCGTTCCTTTCTCCCAGTCCATATCGTCCCATGATGTCTTCATATCCGGTGTTGTCCATTCCAACCTTGGCATTTAAATCTCCCATCAGAATGGTCAGGTCCTTTGTTGGGCACTTCTCGACGATTGACTGCAATTTATCGTAGAATTGATCTTTAGCGTCTTCATTGTAGTCGCTGGTAGGCGCATAGCATTGGATGATGTTCATTGAAATGTCCTCTTTCTTTGTTTTGAAGGAGGCTTTGATGATCCTTGTCCCATGAGATTCTCATCCTATAAGCGCATTTTGCGCTTGTTTGGACAACATCAATGCAACTCCTTGTGTATGTGGAGCATTTTCTCATCATGGCCGGAGTATAGCAGAAGCTCCCGTGAAGCTAGTCTCTCCAGGTCTCTCACATTGTACGAGCATTCCATATACCTAAATAAATGGTTGCTCTGGTTGTCAGAAGGTACATCGGCCTCGAGACTTTCGAAGGAACTCGGCTTTCATCATGAGGCGTCATAACTCTTCTAAATGAAGACCTTCTGACTCCCAGGACAGAGTTTGAAAGGTTTGAATAATTTTTTCTGGTTAGCGTTGTTTTGGCGAGTTAGTTTTCTATGGGGTGGGGTCGCTATCCCCATGCCCAACCCTCCTCCTTTGTCCGGGCTTTGGACCGGCAGCAGCCCCCGGAGGGACTCCAGGCTGTCTACTTAATTTAAATGTATTTGTTTTATGTTGCTTCATTTTTCTATTTTGCTAAACTTCTATTCTGTGTTAACCTTTATACTTCAGCACATCAAAAGCTCGTCTCTGTCAAGTTTTTTTTTCTTAAACGGTTTCAGATGACTGGATGGTGACTTCATGAATGCTGTCACTGCATACGAATTCATGAATCTAAGTGTACCATATAAACCTCCCTCTCCTATCTGACAGGAACCATTCTTTGTTTATTTTAACAGGTATGTTTCTCCGTGTTACACACTATTCTTGTTCACTAATTTTCCATTATACTCCCCTCCCTTCATTTAATTATTCTCAATGTTATTTCTTTATTTGTGTAGCAAACATATTTTTCAGCTCCTAGCTGTGCCAGAACTTATTCGTATTAGTTATTAAGTATAGTAACTTAGTATTTGACCATTCAGCACATATCCTCTTTCAACAGGACTTTAAAAAGGCGCTAAATACTTATTTGGAATAAACATATTGTTTTAAAATACACCCGGCTTCTAACCAACTAGCCGAACAGTCAACAGAACCAAAAATAACTTCACCTATACGATTGCATAATGCATATTTGAATCGATTTTCGATAGCCCCTTAGTCTCCAAAAACGATGTAGGTGGACAGTGGTTGGTACGTACAGTAAATGCGAGGAGGAATGTTAATTCTAAGTAAGCTGGGTGAAGTGATATATTTCATCAGATGTAATAGTTCTACTTGATATATGTCCATTTGAATTTTTCAATTATGAAGTAGGATGCTTCATTTAAAACCCTGTGAACGATCACAGCATTATGACAAAATTCAAAGTACTACTGAAAGATGACCGGTTTAGAAATGAGATGAGATTAATGTATTGGTTTGGCTGACAGTAAAACTAAATGTTGTAAATTTCGACCAACGATATCCTGAGACGAAGAGTGTACTGAAAGGAAACTCGGGAAGCATTTAATAGCCGTGTAACCAGTGCATTTGAGACTGTCAATTGCAATGGCCTTCAGATCAGAGACGAATCTTAGTATCTTCGGATAGTTTCGCAGCATGCATATATATATATATATATATATATATATATATTCGAAAAATAACTTTAGAATTTAAAACAACTAGTCGCTTTGATAAATTTGGATAATGCGATGAGAAAACAAAGGTCATCAGAAATATGTAACAAATTTGCGCATTTCGAGCAATATGATCACACATATACTTGTTAAGACTATTTATGCAACTAGCCAAATTAAAAGGTAAGAGGAAACAGAGATAATAATAAACTACGCAATGTGAAAACCACACTTGATAGTAACTTTAGAATCCCTGTCAATTTCTAGACTCGGTCAAATTGGTATAAATAATACACACAATGATTATCATTTACATATACTCATTTCGCACACATAGATATTGATCTAAATTAGATAATATTTAATCTTCTCTACTTATTATTATATTACTTTTTATATTATCTGTTATGGCAGATCATAAATATTCATTATCCATCGATTGTAATAATAAGCAGTAGATTAGACTTACCAATCACAGTAATGGATGGATTTAGTTGACCTTTAACATTGAAAACAGGTAAAACTTCAAGTTTGGTAAATTGCTTATTAGGATTAGGATCATTGGGTGTACCTTCGACACGAGCCCATTCCCCAATAACTGTATTCCATCCAATTACTGCATTCAGGCAACAAGCGTGTGCACGAATCTCAACATCCCTGAGTACAATGCATTCTCGTAGACGTACACCTGCTTGTATTACAGCTCGTTCACCTATACTTACGTTGGGTCCTATCTGAAAATCGATAGAAAAAAACCATAATCATAAAGAGAACTAGAGTTAAACGTTTAGCAGATTAAAGTTTAACAAAAAGAAAATATATCAATTAACTCAGAACTTAAAAATTAATCTTATGAAATTTTTAATATAAGTATGTTGAGAATTATATGATACATTAGTACGCTTACACTATTTTCTAAACGTTTTGCAAACAAGTATTTCCCGTTTAAACTACTAAAACCTGAAAATGATCTTTGGACATGATTTGAAACGAAAACATTAACTCCCTTACTTTAATGTAAAGGTTATAAGCGACAGGGCAGTCAGATGAAAAAAATAACACTATCGCTGTATATACGGGATCGTATGCTTCTCGAATGAAGCATGTGGGTCAGTAATAAAATAGCAAAATAAATAGTATCGACTAAGAATAAGCAGTTAGATAATTATGTGGACCAGATACCATTACTATGTCATAGATGTATCTGTTTTCAATTTCCTTTAAATAATTAGCTTTTTTATTTGTTAAAATTTATAAGCGTTTAAAATAATTAAAAATTTTATAGTTTGAACGAATATAAGGTAAACAAATACCATAGGGATTCCCTTCAATCATTGAAAACGCCTAGCAAAACGCAAAAAAAGTTTGAAGACTTAAAGTCACAAAACTACTTTGAAATTACTTTGATGGAAGTGAATAAATAAAACCACATCAGTATAGGGTGGTAAAACTTGTTGAGTTTTTGATAGAGATCATGAATCGAACAGTGTTAGACCCTCATTGAAAACCTGGAAGCACTGGACAGCCATTTCGTCCTAGTATGGGATTCTTCAGCAGAGAAAGTCATATAGAGAGATGCAGATTTTCTGCTTAAAATCTAAAACCAATGATTAAAAATGTAGTGATCTTGCTCTAAATCACTTTCAATGATGTCGATACATTCATCTTTTATCTTGCGCTAAAGCATTAGCTTAGTATAACATTACACTTTATATCCTTTATTCCGATTCATTACTTTTGAAAAAAGATTGCTTCTGCTTAGGCTTTTACTCACATAGATATTATTGTTCCTATCATCTACCTTTTATCTGGTCTATTTCTTTCGTAATGAATCGTGATATGACAACTTGAACTGGTACTCGTACTAGTCTTTATTATCGTCCATGACGAATCGGATATTTCTATTAACTTCAATAATGAAATCGTTATGCTACAACTGTTTTATTTCTATGCATGTATGCTGATGAAAATATTTTCAATAGTATAAAGTTCAAAGATTCTTTTATATTCAAATGGACACAGTATGACTTTTGATTCACTGCTTAATATCATTCTAATATTATGATAAGAATAAATCACTTTTCGTATCACATGTCTACTTACAACAGCTGTTCGGTCGATTGAAGCAGTTGGATGTATGAATACATGACCAATTATGATCGGTCCACAAATCGACGGTTGGCAATTGCCATTCATCACAACTAATGATGAATTAATGGGATCATCTAACATTTGTAGGTTTGATGAACTTGGTATTGACATTTTAGCAAGTCTATGAGGATGGGTTCTTTCATAAAGTGACAATATATGACGATTAGCGTAGATTACAGCACTGAACAAAAATAAAATGAGATAATCAGTTATCAAGATATATGACAAAATTTCTGAACTTAAAAAATATAATACCAGGTAGTAAGATTGAAGATAGGCAATATTAAAAAGTAATAACTGGGAAACAACGGTCACATCCAAATTTACATTTATATATTAGTTGAAATTTGTATAACGATTAAAGACATTTACCAAACAAATAAATCTCTGTAAACTTATTTAGAGATTACTGTTATGTGGTGCAACTGAACTTCACGTATAAAATAACAAACACTCATCTTTAGTTAATATGACTAAACTGCAAAATTAAATATATGAAATTGATGCGCCCTGACACAGACTACCTGGACTTAAATTTCAATTGGAATATAGAACTAAATAACAAGTTGAAATAAGTGTATTTGGATTACGACAGCTTCTCATCCCTGTTTGGTGGAAAACGTATTGTTAAGATAGGCTCATAGATTCAATTTGTCTATGGAATATCCACAAATTACAAAATTACGCAATTAAATCAATCAAAGCAATATAGTAATGATATTTAACTACAGAAAAGAGGTTAATTATGTGACTCTGTAATTACTACTGGGTATCTATGATATTTTGACCTGACATTAAATGATTAATCGGAGTTCAGTTCAGTCCACGTTTAGTCGACATCTAACTAGTTATCAGTGAAATGATACGAAAAAATTAGTGTATTTTCTTTGTCTTTTTTGGTGATTAAATAAATTTATGTTTTTTCTCACTTGCATCGAATTGTGTGTTTCTTTTTTAGATAAATGCCTTGTTTCTAGTCAAGGAAAGTGTAATCAGACTTCTTGTTCATAAGCCGTTGATAACACAGAAGTTGGATTATCATGAATTGAAAAAGTTAACCCATCTAGGTCATATGTATATAAAAATCAGAGAGTACTAAGATAAAACTTTGTATCATTTAGTTTCGTAGGAGATATGTTAATTTGCTTAGTCAGAGGAATTATTATGATGTCAGTCTATAAAAGATCAACTGCACAACATGTTGATGTGAGTAGTGATATTCTATAATAGAGAATACAATAGTCGAAATAAAATGCTTAATGTGCATAATTACTACCATAATTATCACCAACTCAACATCAGTTTCTGAAACCTATTGGATTTGTTTGTGATATTTTCCATTACATAAACACTGAGTAACGGTAAGTGATGTGTTATTCTTCAACTGAACAAGGGGCATAAGGAACCTAGAGTTTCAGTTCTTAACACTAGTGGATGATTACACGACTAAATCGAATGTATATTCCAAACAAACAAAATACTTCTAAGGTTGTCAGATAACAGGAGATATAAGTGTTGTGTGTTGTATCAGTTTCACTGTGCCTCCAAAAAATACGCCATTTGATTGCTTTTTATATTATTGATATTCTGGCGGAAAGTTAGTTCTGTTGGTGACAATAAGAAAATACAATAAATTCAGTTTTCTGAAACAGTCAATGTGTATGCATATTAAGAGAGGAGTTTTGATCAGAATAAAAAATATCTCACTCAAATCTGAATGCAATACAAAAATTTGGCTCAGTGATAAATCATTAGGGTACCACATTATGTGTTAAGTAGGTGAAAAGCATTGTAATCTACACTAACCATAATGAAGCTTCTCCCAAGTATCTTAACGACGTATCAAACATTAAACTTCAACTAAAAATTTTACAACCATATAGTTTACTGGTTTAGCATGTCAGTTAAGTGAATCATGTTGAATTCCTTTTTCCATATACATTAGGTGGTTGAATGTGGTCAACAAGAAACCTCCGACCTAAATTACGCGCTAGCTGGCACTCGTCAATAAGGCATACCTGTAATTTTTAAGAGGCTGATTTCCCCTGATGGATTCCGACGCATGTCATTCAGTTTCACAGCCTAAAACGCTACGACTGAGCGTTTTGGGCGTTTTGATTGACCTCCTGTATGACTGAGATATGTACATTGATTGATCACTGAGTAACGGTTAATGTCATATTTGTCTAGCACTCACAGCTGATCAAACTACATCGAAAAGTGTGTTGAAATATATAATTAAAGCTGGAAGTAACTAAAATTAGCCACAAACATGTAAAACCCATTTTATGCAAATGATAATAATGGTACTTTTATGCAAAACATTATACACCAACAAATACAATTAATAACGAGTTATAAAAGATTACCACATCTAAGAAAAACTAGTCTTTTGATGTGTTTTTCACAAAAATAGAGAAAATAAACAGATAACTTCTTAAATTTTGTTACCCAGCAAATTTGATTTGACTCCAAAACCGATTGGTATGATAAACAAATAAAGTCCCACTTCCAGCTAACGGTTGACATATTTCTCGTTCTAAATGAATAGTTTCTTTGCATGAAGGTCTTAAATCATAGCTAGAATTGGATATGAGAGAAACAGAAAAAAAAGACTGACCAAATCAAAGTATAGCTTTTTGTCAATAAGAAATCCAGTACACAAGACATGTTTATTAAAGGTTACAGGACAACAAGAACAACAGTACAATAATAATCAACCATGTAGTCAAATACGTGTTATATTGTATATATAATAACGAAAGTTAGAAATGGTATAAACAAGTGAACATTTAGAAATGATAAACTGTCACTTTTGTGATTTTCGAGAAACTAAACAATAAACTTAGACACCTGGACAATTTCGATTTTTCATTAAAAAAATAATACAGCAATTGCTCCATACTTAAATACATTTTGTGATGATAATAGAATGGATATTATATTAAATAAACATAAAACAGTACTCATCCTTTATAACTACTTCAAATCATAATATTCGCAGTAGTTTTGAACTATGCGTTACAATAAAACGGCACCTAATAGAAAGCATCTAGATATTATTGAATCCTACTATATAACTCATATATATCATAAGGATCAACAATCATATCAAAATGTGTCGACAACCAAAAAAACAAGCCCGAAAAAGCCCCAAACCTTCGGATAATAATAACTCTGTTGTTACTTCAATTTCCCGGTTTTTGTGCCATTCTCCCCAAAATAAGGAGATTGGCGCCTATACCCAATGCTCACATATTTTGATGTACCAAGTATGTGTTCGACCACTCCTAGAATACTAAATGTTTGTTCTTAGTGTGCGCATAAAGGATAAATTAAGGTTGGAATCCGTATAGAGACGATTTACACTTCGGATTCTTGGAAGTGGTTGTGTTTTAAATTATAAGTCCAGATGTAATAAACTTGGACTCGACCCTTTATGGGAGACGAGACTCAAACTAAATTTAATCTTTTCAAAATACTTAATAAAATATCCTTTACATACAGTTAAGGAATTCAATATGCAGAAACTTCTAATTATGAATTCCGTAACTCCTTGTCATTACTGAAACAAACCCATTCTAAATTGTCTCTATATGAATTACTTTACCAGTAAATTTTCCAGACACTGGAATAATCTAGCACGATCTATCTGTAAGATAAAATCACTTCCATCCTTTATTCGCTAAAATGATGCCTACTGCTCCTCTGAAAATGCATTAAATGTTCTAGCACCTGTAAGAGTAAATGTTTAGCCATTCTTACTATTGAATCCACTAAGTAAAACCACCTACCTGCTGTTACTTTACATTAACACCAGCACTGGCAACACTAAATAATTTGAATAATATCTTTAAAAAATTGCCCTTTTTGTTACGTGCTCTCTGGATCTGTTTTATTTCCTTTAATTACAGATGGTTATAATAAATTCGTTATGGTACAGTAAGTAACCTTAAATGCACTGCTCATACGTCAACAGTGTGCCCATTTAAGAAGAATTAAAAGTCCCCAGCTAATGCATTTCATTGTTGTAATACATGTCATAAATGTACTACCTAAACAATTTCTGAACTAGTAAACTTAAAACAATCTGATATCACATGTTTGTTCTTTACATCCAATGTTACTATTTATATCAAGCTGATCATGCCCGTAAACAGGCATGAATTCTGTAATGGCTATTTTCAGAACATATTATTATTAAGACAACTATCACCACTCTATAATGTGATTCATAATGTTTACGAGTCGACTCGTGAATTTAGCTGTGGAGAAACAAAAAGTCATAATAATCTTTTGATGAGCTTAAACTGTTCGTAATGGAGAACACATTGGGGAAGTCGTATATTTTGAAATGATTTCACGGAGAATTATTAGGTAAAACTTTATTGTGTAATTAATAAATGATTGGATCATCACAATTTTATGTTCACCATACTGCAAGCTTTCTCTAGAATTAATAGATATTATCATACGTTTTACCAATATTTAATTACTCTGACTTAATTATTCACACGTTGTTCCAACTTTCTACTACATTAACCTGATTTCTGCATAAACTACGGTTTCGAATTTGCGGTGTAATTCGGTCTGATAATTAATGTAATATAAACCTACGGGAGCTTCAAATCCAACAACAAAAGCTCGTCTGATGCTGTTCTCTCCCGCTTTAATCTAAATACTGAGCTAGAAGAGGGACAGCGTTGTGGAACAATAGAAGTCAAGATTGTCTTGTAACTGCTGAATGTTAATCGTTGAGAGTCGAAGCATGTTGTGGGTCTATAGACGAGAAATGACGTAGAGGAGAATAAACTCCCCACCAGTATTCTCCATCCAACTCTATCCTGGTCAACCCTTTCCAGTTGCTATTCATCCTTTTCATATCTGCTTTGGCGAATTCGCCGAAAAGAGAACTCTTCGCTGAACTAATCTTTCTTATTTAATGTCATCAAAAAATTACAAGTGTTTTAATCAACATAGCTTGATTTAATCATTACGATAGCTAAGTAAGACCACTATTTCAAGATACTAGCTACAATCAAAGACAATTGTATCGTCTTTAATTGTTGAACTTCTCAAAGGTGCACCTAGTAAATAGCAATAGGAATGGTAAAATATCAAAACAAACAAGTACGAGATATGTAAAAAAGAGTAAAACGAGGTTGTATGAAAAATTTAGTACATGGTAAGGCCTTAATCTGTCTGATTCGGATGTAAGTCGACCATATTCTCTAACTACTAATTCCTGACATAACAAAAGTACCATACACAAAGTATGAATATCTTAATAAAAGCTTAAGCTAACAAAGAGTAACTTTACAGACTGATGACATGCATAAATTGAGAGTGTTTTAGGAGAACCTAACGAAAAATTTTAATTATCCATCTGAATTTTTGAGTACTCTTTCATCATTGTCATTTAAATAAGCTTATTTACGAACTTGATTTAAATCTCCTATATTTAAAAAACTTAACGAGAAAACTACTTACTTTAGTTGATTCTGATGTTCAAGAAAAGCTATACGAATAAATTTAAATATCCCAGGAGTAAATAGGTAAAGACCACAATTTATTGTTGTGCTGACGAACGTTGCTGGCTTCTCGACATAATGCATAACCTTTAACGATTTGAGAATTAAACAAGACAATGAATAAATAAAGTAATATATTTATGTACGTATATATGTAGAATTAAAAGCATTACCAATAGCTTCATGTAGAACACATCTTCATACATTACATCTTTGAGGGATGTTACCGACCGTAGCGGCTACTTTGATATAGTAGTCGACCTTGCTTCTAATGAGATATATTGGCTGGAACACATGTTTATTCTTTATCTTACCCCAAACCCTAAGCTTGTGAATTCCCCACAACTTGTTTTTGTTTTTATTTTACTAATTTATATTTTCTTTGATCATCTTCGATGCCTAATCTTTACTCTTACCGCCGATACTGTTACTACCTATAACATACTAGGACTTGCCCTGACAATTTCATTTCTCTGTGCTAATAGGGCATAGCAACTTAAACTGATGTACATAGGTACCGGGTTCTACGCTGCGATTGACTAACTTGAGGGACATTATTACACATATTTTAGAAAGATGTTACCCCACCTACACGAAATTAGACAACATACACACAAATGCAGCCCATTAATGTAACTATGTGGAATTGAGTAATACAGTTATTTACAAGCATATACACTGAAGTGAAATTAAGACTGAAAGAAAAGTAAGTGTTAAAATCATAAATATTTTAATGAATAACCAGTTGCTCACTTCATGGGTGTTGGGGTCTTCAACAATACAACCGAACTTCATAGACTGTTGACGTGTCGCCTATTTAATAAAAGCAATAAATTAGGAAATTTTTAGGAATTTTACGATGCCCATGAAAACAATAAATCAAAATTAAAAAGAATAAATCATTGCAACTTCAGTGAACCGATTAGGGACTGTCACTTCAAATGACCATAGCCGGTTGTATTTGCCAGGATTTTTTAGTACCTTAATTTTTGTTTGGATTCCCAGACAACTTGAAGTTTGAAATCATTCTCGAGTACAACAGATTTGCTGAAATTAATCACTCCTGTAAAGTGTAATTAGTTAACAATATTAACAAACCACATGTATATTGAATAAGGATAGTAAGGTAATGTAGCTTTCTAAAAACAAAGAGTGATTAGTGCATATTGCCCTTACATAGTCAGTGTAGAATAACTACAGGACCCCATTTATGCTAATATAAAATGCTTAATAAGTGAATTTAAGTCATTCGAATGAATCGAAAAGCACAACTAACCTTAAAGAATCCTACACACTACTTCTCTGTTGACATTGTAATGTTTAAGCATTTCGTTTCGTTTTGTACGGCCTATTTTGGTAGCCGACTGTTTGGGAAATTTTTTATTTATAAGTGAAAATTTTTTACCATAACTGGATGAGCGAATGCTAAAAAAACAATTCTTAAAGTAGAACCTTATTCATATGAGTAGTCATTTCAATAAAAAACTCAAGCTACATTTAGTCTGTAATTAGTGTCGTTAATTACGGCATATGAATTGCATCTTCAAAGTGTAGGTTCCTTCAACAAAATTTGCATAAGACTATTCCTGCACTGTCTTTTTGCTTATTCTCTAGAATTGATTAAAATGTTCGTGTATTTGAGTAGTCGCAGAAGCCTAGTAATTGCATGACAGATAAAGGCAATCTATTCGTCATAAAATCCAGAGAGATTTGCGCGAATATCGGTGATTTACAGCATCGTGCTGTAGAACATATCTGTATAGAACTGGCATTTCATAGTCCATTATGACTTCCAAATTGTTATCCTAGAAGTCAGAATATAAGACTGGTTATGTTGCCGTTGTTTTCTTCTGTATTTTTAATAATGAGAACTTCCTTGAGTGTCACTATTTTAACTATGAATCACATGAAGCGTTTTTAGCTGTCCTCTCAATGTACTACTATGTCAGTTTTTACTCATACCCTTATATGCTGTCTTCCACATAGTTGGCGTGATTTTGTCATTCAATGAGTCAGAAAACAATAAATTAATTCCATGTTGTTTCCAATCAAATTTTCCCTTTTTTATTTTAAAAGCATTTCCAATACGAACGTTTTCTATCCTCCTCATCTAAAAACATACCTAACCAAAAGAATGGATCATGCCCACGGTTCTCATCATTCACCGGCCCATGCTGGTATGCAGTCAAGCGATCATTCCATGGATATGAAAGTATGACTCATTTCTATCATACAAAATGATTTATAGATGTATTTCAATACTGATATGCACTATACATTGCTTTTTTCATCCTGGATTATTGATACAGTTGGAAGTAAATGATGTTTTTCTTAAAACCATACTCTTAACTTATAGAAGCGATTGTAGCGTGTCTTGGCTCTTTCATATTCGCTATCATATATGAGGCCCTAGAAGTAAGTTGTTATTTTGTTTATGTGCTGACGTCTGTTAATTTAACCTGTCTCTGAATAGAACAGTTATTAGTCTTATTATGATGAAGTTATGGTATTTATCTCTTTAATTTTAGTAGTAGATATTACCTACCCAAAATCCATGCAGGTTGTTCCTTGAAGTCAAATTATGCTACAATTAATTGCTAATAACACACAAAGCTTTTAGAGGCGATCTTGAATGTTGTTAGGAGTATGAGGGCGGTTATCACTTCCCGGTTGCCCACACCGTGGAAGGGTTCTTCTAGAAGTACCTGAAAAGAAAACTGGGTTAGATTTGGTCTTAGTGACCTGAAAGCGTACACTGCAGTCTTACGCAAGCAACTAGTTTGAAAAGTAGTAATATGTGCTGCAAATGAGTTTGATTGCGTGGAACGAAGAAAATATAGCTCCACAAAGGAATCTGATAAGACAGCTTTAACAAACAAAAGTGAAAAATTGTCAAAAAGTCAACGTAGAACCTGTTATGAGGAAAAAATTATACAATTAGAATTATAAGCCAAATATTTAAGGATGATATAAACTAAAGTTTATCAACTAACATCAGTCGCCATAATTAGAAACCGATCCCCAGTACCCAAACATTTGTGAAACTCGAGCATTTCCTCAAGAGGTAAATCACAGCATACATCACCATTCATCACGAACAACAAATCCGGAGATCCAGATAATAATTGGTCACGGAATTGATATATACCACCAGCTGTTCCTAGTGATGTGAACTCCTGTAAATATCTGTCAAATTTGAATGCATAACATTTTGTTGGATTATAAATAAAAATATATAACTTTCAACAAGCAGTTCAAATGAAACTCCTACTAAAATTTATTTTAGGAATTAGGCTCGTTTTCACATAAGGATAAAACGTGAGAGTTTAGGAACCCCAACTGTAGTTTAATCTTTAAAGTTACTTGAACACCGTAAGGATACTATAAGGATCAGTAAATATTAGTTGACTACTATAACAACATCCTCTGTCATTTGAGTTTGTTAAGATCTTTCCTTAGAAACAGTATCCTTATATTTGGTCATAGGGGGCATTACTGTATAAACATAAGTTGACACAATGTTTTCTATATATGATACATTCGAATGACTTTAATTTAAGACAAACATTTGGTTTACTTAAATAGTGGCCGATAGTTGTTCCTACCTTTTAAGAGGGTTCACGTCGTTTCTGTGACAACTATCGAAGGATAAGTCTACTTCCGATTGCGTCCAAGCTATTGGTTTCCGTCATACTTCGTAGCTTGTTCAAAACCCGAGAAAGATTGACTCGCGAGGCGCAGGTTTGTTTTCGTTCTGGTTGAGGATGTATTGATCGTATCTTTACCCTCCCCCAAATGTTAGAACACTGTCATACTTATCAAAGGCCAACAATCGTAGTGTTTCTTGACATCAAGGCTGCCTTCGATTCGTTGGACAGGACTGTTCTCTGGGAATGTCTATTGACGAAATATGTGCCTGAGAAGTTTATTAACATCCTAAATGCCCTATATACAAATACCTCAGGTACAGTGAGGGCATACAACCACCTTTCTCCATTGTTCCATTCAAGCAGTGGGGTTAGGCAGGGTTGCTCAATCTCACCATTCCCCTTCAACTTTGCCATCCATGACATTCTGGAAACAGCTCTGATGGATGTAAGTAATGGTGGTTTGAATCTGTTGCCTGGAGAAAGAATTCTCGACCTTGAGTATGCGGATGATATTGTCTTACTGTGCGATAACCCGACCGTTGTTGCTACCTTGATGTGGTGGTCGGGCTTGCCTATCGTGATGAAGCGACCGAGCTATACTGGCTGGAACAACCGTTCCTCAAGGTCCTACCATGTTAGACAGGTCGGTTGAAGAGCGCTAAGACTTAAAGCAACAAACCCAAGGTCCGAAGGCGAAGTCATACTGTTAACTGCACAGAGGTGTGACAGCAGTAAGGTGTTTCCTTCAGACAACCAGCATAACAGCGATGCTGCCTTCCCACAAGGAGGGGTGGGGTTAGAAAAGGTCGACCCTAAAAATGCACACCTCGTCTTATCCCACGGACATCCGTCTCTGGCGGTAAGGTCTCAACAAGTACGGAGCTAACACAAAAATCATTCATAAAAAGGTCGTGTGTGACCGACCTCCAGCAATTGTCCCTTGGGCACTGCGGTCACGATCTCAGGTCACTGAGACCACCTCTAATCCAATTTCCTTTTCAGGTACCTCCAGAACAACCCTTTCACGGTGTGGGCAACTGGGAAGTGATAACCGCCCTCATACCTCTAACAGCACTCAAGACCACTGTATTCATAATCAACCTCCGTCTTCACTTCCTACATTGACTTTCACCTCTAAACTTCCTTGTTCGGTTTCCTCCTCAAGTGTCACCATAGCCAACAATTCTATTGCTCAAAACACTGTCCCAGGTCTACTGGAACCTCGCTCCAAACTACACATTGGAGCCTTCAACGTAGGCATCCAATGTCAAACCGGTCAGCAGGGTTCCTTGGCTAGAACCCTAGAATCTCGTACCATTGATGTAAGCTGTGTCTCTGAAACATGCATACAGGATCCCAGTGTGGTCATTCACTTGACCTTACCTCGGCAACACGGAGAGCCAACGAGATACACCCTCCATGTATCTGGTGACCCGATGGCCAGCTCTCGTGGACTGGCAGGAGTAGGGATAGCACTAAGCATAAGGACAGAACAAGCACTGTTAGAGTGGATCCCCGTTAACAGTCATTTATGTGCTGTTCGGCTAAACGGCTCCGTAAGAACTCGGAAGGATAGGGACACACGTCGTTGCCTTTTTGTCGTTTCTGCCTACGCTCCCACCGACTGCAGCTCAAACGAAGTGAAAGATGAATTTTACAGAAATCTATCTGAACCTCTTCAGAAAGCTAAACGTCCAGACATAGTACTCATAGCAGGTGACTTTAATGCCCAGATAGGAGGTTTAAACCAAACAGAAAGGCATTTAGGCGGGTATTTTAGTATTCCGGCACAACGAACAGATAAGGGTGATCGTCTGCTGCAACTATGCTCAGACAATCGTTTATTTTTAGCAAACAAATTTTAAGCATAAGGAGAGACATCGTCTGACATGGCGACCCCCTATACCAAACCAACGATGGACTCAAATAGACCATATTGCCATCAGTCATCATTGGAGAGGGTCGGTAGAAGATTGTCGCTCATTCTGGAGTACCTGCTTGGACTCCGACCATGCCTTAATACGGGCACACATTTGCTTGCGCCTCACTGGACGCAAAAAAGTCACAGTAAAAAGACCCATTAGAACTGAATTGAGTAACGAGAAAACCAAAAGTGGGTTCTAGGAACAACTGAGGTCACACTTAGGTAGTTCTGCAAACGAGGCTGTCCCAGATGTTGCTTGGAAAGATATACGAACAGCTGTGGAAACAGCAGTGACATCTGTTAGTGATTTAAACCACGGGGTTACAAAGAACCAATGGATTTCTTCAATGTATATTGAACTGATGGATTCTTGTAAACTCATCCTATCAGGCTCTGAACACGATGAAGAGCGACAACAAATCAGATCTAGGTTAAGCAAAAGTCTAAGAAACGACCGTGAGCAGTGGTGGGCAACGAAAGCAAAAGAGATGGAAAAGGCGGCGACTATAGGGAACACAAGACAGCTCTACAGACTAATAAAAGAAACTGGAATTAGTAAGTCAAGTGTAAGTGAGATTATTTCGGAAAAAGATGATACTCTCATCTGCTCCCAGTCCAGACGTTTAGAACGATGGGTGGAACATTTCAGAGAACATTTCACCTGGCCATCAGCTACTCTACAACTACCCTCCATTCCCAGACAGTGTAAATGGAACATTGAAGTAGTTCCCCCAACTCTAGCAGAAGTTCAAAAGGCTATAGTTAATCTGAATCGAGGAAGGGCAGCTGGTTCAGATGGACTGGCTCCAGAGGTCTTTAAGGATGGTGGTCCAATTTTAGCGATTAGGTTGACTATTTTAGCTAAGATCTGGGAGTTGGACGTTATTCCATCTGACTGGTCACAATCACTTATCGTCCCAATATATAAGAGGGGGTCAAAATCATCCTACGACAACCACAGAGGGATTAGTTTAACTAATATAGTATCTAAAATACTGGCCTCGATAATTATCAGACGCCTAACTAAGACTCGTGAACTGCAAACACGAGAGACTCAAGCTGGCTTCAGACATGGTCGTCGCTGCATCGACCACAAATTCACCACTCGTCAGGATCTAGAACATAGGGATACCTATCGGCGTCCGACAATGGTGGTCTTTGTTGACTTAAAAGCAGCATTTGACTCGGTAGACCGCGAGACTCTGTGGCAGTGTCTGTCATTGAAAGGCGTACCTCAGAAGTACATAAACCTTGTGAAGGCTCTTTACTCGAACACTACCAGTCGAGTGAGAGCTTATGGCGAATTGTCATCTGATTTTGCAACCTCAAGTGGTGTCCGTCAAGGCTGTCCACTTTCTCCATTTTTGTTTAACTTCATCATAGACCTACTGATGGAAATAACATTCTCGTCGACTGAATTCGCGGGTATTGATCTCCTTCCAGGAGGTCCACTTATCGACTTAGAATACGCGGATGACATAGTCCTGTTTGGTGAAGACGCAGAGTCTTCTGGTAGCACTGAGCAACAATGCCAGAATGTTTTGAATGCGCTTCTCTCCCTCTAAATGCAAGTTGTTGCTTCAGGACTGGTCTGCGTCAACACCTGAACTAAGGATAGGCAGTGAAGTAGTCGAACGCGTCGACAACTTCACTTATCTTGGAAGTCTGATCAACCCCAATGGACTGGTATCGGACGAAATCTCAGCACGGATTCGAAAAGCTTGCTTGGCTTTTGCCAACTTATATCACCTTTGGAGAAGGCGAGATATCCGTCTATCAATAAAAGGATGAGTATACTGAGCGTCAGTCCGTCCTGTTTTAATTTACGGCAGCGAAACATGGCCATTAAGAGTAGAAGACACCCGTAAGCTACTAGTATTTGACCACAGATGCCTCAGAAATATTGCTGGCGTCTGCTGGGATCACCGGGTAAGTAATAGTGAGGTTAGACGCAGGGTATTGTTATAACACAGTGACGATTAAATTACAGGTAACTCTCGAGGACTACTAATGGACAAATATTCTATAAATATTCTTATTGTATAACTATTCAACAATTACATTATGTATATTTATATTCCTCTTATTATAAGCTTTATTTTGACCTATATTTTATAATTGTAGGATTTACAATTCTTAAGCCATGCTCAGTCTATTAATTACTGTCCCCCTCGTTCACAGCCACTTTTTGGCTTATTTGTGTACACATGTTATTTTCTATTTTATGGTACGTTGTGGTCTGTCTGATTGATATATAAACCGGGTATGTCTGAAATAAACGATCTGCTCTGATTCGATTCATATTACGGAAGCTGGTATTGTGTTCTGGATTCAAGTGGAAGGGCCCGGAGGATATAGGACCAATAAGGACGCTAAACTGCCCACACCGGTTGAACGTCATTGGTTGGCCTAGTGTGAAGATTCGTATAAGTCGTATTCGGATTGGTAGATAAATCGTGTGATAGAAAAACCAGAAGTCAAGGTCATAACAGGTATTAGGGAAGGATGGTAAATCAGTCGATGAAGTTGTAAATCTTCATCGACTAAGATGGTTGGGCCACGTGTTACATATGCCCGAACACCGATTACCACGACGTGCAATGCTAACCGGCGTTCGGGATGGTTGGAAGAATGTTAAAGGCGGCCAAACCAAAACGTGGCATCAGTGCTTGAAGTCACTAACTTCTAGTCTGAGCCATGTTGGTAGATGCAGACTACTTGGTTGGGGTCCGTGTGACTATCGTAACCAATGGTTGGAGACTTTAGGTGACATGGCTCAGAATCGACCACAGTGGCGTCGGTGTATACACTCTCTATCTTCCCTTAAACTAAGAGATTAAAATGGCCTCATATCTTTTTTTCTACGAACTAATTCTTTCTTCCTGTACTATATCCTTATTGCAATCTCTCTTTTATATATTACCACCTCTGAATTCACTACTTTTATGAATCCGGTGTCCATCTTATTGTGTTAATGAGGTATGGCAACTTGGACCGATGCATAAATGTGCCTGGGCCTAAGTTGTAGTTGACTGATTGACTGTGCGATAATGCCCAAGCCATGCAATCCGCACTTAATAAGTTGGTAATCAACGTCCGTAGGGATGGTATGTGCTTTGCACCTTAGAAGTGCAAAGTACTTCTACAAGACTGGCAGAACCCGGTCCTGTATTCACCCTGAGTAATGAGCAGATAGAAGTAGTCAAGAGGTTGATTATGAATACAGTGGTCTTGAGTGTTGTTAGAGGTATGAGGGCGGTTATCACTTCCCAGTTGCCCACACCGTGAAAGGGTTGTTCTGGAGGTACCTGAAAAGGAAATTGGATTAGAGGTGGTCTCAGTGACCTGAGATCGTGACCGCAGTGCCCAAGGGACAATTGCTGGAGGTCGGTCACACACGACCTTTTTATGAATGATTTTTGTGTTAGCTCCGTACTTGTTGAGACCTTACCGCCAGAGACGGATGTCCGTGGGATAAGACGAGGTGTGCATTTTTAGGGTCGACCTTTTCTAACCCCACCCCTCCTTGTGGGAAGGCAGCATCGCTGTTATGCTGGTTGTCTGAAGGAAACACCTTACTGCTGTCACACCTCTGTGCAGTTAACAGTATGACTTCGCCTTCGGACCTTGGGTTTGTTGCTTTAAGTCTTAGCGCTCTTCAACCGACCTGTCTAACATGGTAGGACCTTGAGGAACGGTTGTTCCAGCCAGTATAGCTCGGTCGCTTCATCACGATAGGCAAGCCCGACCACCACATCAAGGTAGCAACAACGGTCGGGATAGAAGTAGTCGAGAAGTTCGTGTATCTAGGTAGCTGCATAAGTGCTGGTAGTGGCATGAGTGATGAGATCAATGCACGTATAGTGAAAGCCAGGGCGGCTTATGCCAATCTGGGCCATCTTTGGCGCCTTCATGATGTTAGTCTGGCTGTTAAATGTCGGATTTACAACGCGTCGGTAAGAGCAGTTTTGCTCTACACTTGGGAGACCTGGCCTTCCGGAGTTGAGGATGTTAGACGACTCTCTGTGTTTGAGCATCTTTGTCTCCGAAGGATTGCTGACATCCAGTGGCTGCTCCATGTTAGTAATGCAGAGGTTCAGCATCATGTTTTCGGGCACCGTCTTGAAACATAGACTTTGGTGGCTTGGACATGTTCTACGAATGTCGTCCCAGAGAATTCCACGTCGTGCATTATTTTCTGACACTGGAACTAGTTTGAAAAAGCGGAAAGGTGGTCAGTGTATGACATAGTGTTGTGGTGTGAAAGAAAGCTGCAAAGGGCTGGCCTTCATTGGTCCTTCACGACTCCCTGGCAGGGGTCCTAGAGATGGTGCAACACAGTGGCTAGAGTCGTTATCAGATATTGCTCAGAATAGAAGCCAGTGGTGATCCTGCTGTAACTTTATTTTACTTTCTTCATAAAAATGGGTGTGATTTCTTTAACTGGAAGAATCCTCTCTGGATGTATCGTTGCTAACTGAACTGCTTCTCCTATTATTATTATTATTATTATTATTATTATTATTATTATTATTATTATTTCACTAAAATACGCTATTTTCTCCTTTCTCTTATACGCACCTTACATTCTATATCTCTTTACATTCTCATTGTTAGTGTATTTGGTGCCCCTTCATACCAATATTTGTGTTCAAATAAATAAATAAATAATTGCGAATAAACCTAAAAGTAGTGATATAAAAGTATTTAAGTAACTACAATGGAAAAGCTGAATTTTTTACTGTGGCTTAGAGATCTTTTAAAGGAACACACTCAAACGTTATGAGTTTTTGACCTATTTGAATCACAACCTAAATTTGCCTGAAATTCTAAATAAGTGGTTTTGATGCTAAGCGTGACGTAAACCAAATGACGAGACTGGGCAAGCTATCTACTGAGACTTGAATGCCCTGGTACAGCCAAAGGTGGGGACAGTCAGTTTTTCCTCTCAAGATGCCCTCACATAGTCACGCGTATACAGCCTCTGTCAGGGAAGTCCTACTCACTGTTTTCTCTTAGCCGGGATGTTGTTTACAAAACTGAGAGGATGAAAAGTAAACGTATGGCATTTCAACTGGGTTAATGGTGGGTAAAGAGGAACCACCTATAGAAGTTGGGAAATTCTGATTCCAAACCAATGGTGCACGTGAGCTCAGGATTTTGAAGGAACTAATCGCGTATAAATCCGTTGTTGGTCACAGCTATCATGGAACTGCATCTCCTAAAGTCGCCCAACTGACTTGTGGATTAGACCTCTAGGTTAGAGGCCCGAGTCAATTATGGTCTAGATGGACGAGTCAGAACAGTTCGACTTAAGACAGCAACTGAAGAGATCAGCTGGGATATACGAAACCTGTGCATAGTGGAAGAAGCCGATTATATGAACACGAGAGCAGTGAAGCCTGGACGTGGTGACCGCTTGGGGAGAATGTCAATAGTGTCCATAACTAACCAAATCACTGCTTAAGCGCCCAAAACGTCAGTCTGGTCTGATGCATCTGTAGACTCTCCTTGTTGCATGTGATCTGAAAACTGAAAGGGATTATTATCCTATTATATTAGTATGACTCATAATTTTTATTCATTTCGATAAGATAAGCAATACTGGTCGGTATGTTCGTGCGTTCCACTTAATGATTATAGTTTTTTTTAATTATTGTACTAATCAAATTGTAATTTTACGTTAAGAAACAGATAAAGCTTAAAGACGAGTTGTCCTTGTTCTGATTATGGCTTTCATATAGACCCTAGGGTTGCCAGTATCGCGTTTACAGTTCAAGTAGAATATCTGTAGAACAAATTAAATCCTGTACTTAGGTATTCAAAAAAAGTGAAAAATGATAGAAAATTAATAAACATTCAAACTGTACATACCTAACAGAAACCTTAAACTCGTGCTGCGCATTCGAAATAAGCTGGTTGAGAGCCTCATTTGGTTGGTAAAATCCCAAAAGAATGATTTCCCTCAATCCCGGTAACTAAATTGCGATGTCGAATTCTAATGATTACCTTGGAAAAGGCTTCGATGTGATGGTAAACAACTGGAAACCCAGCTATTGGAAAAAGTGGTTTAGGCAACTCCAATGAAAGTGGCCTAAAGCGAGTCCCTTTATGTGAAAAAGTAATCGAAATGTCCATTATTACCTTTACATGGACCACCAATTAAGATTATAGCTTTAATTTTCTTCGTGCTATCAGTAAGTACAACTTCATCATTTCCCATATTCTTGTGCAGATATTTTTAGATCGCAGTTAAATATACTTTGTCTCAAAACACCAAGTTGTTACTACTGAAATAAAAGCACAATATAATCATGAATTATATCCATAGGATGCATCAGTAACTGAATATTTTCGACTTTGAGAGGACATATAAGACAAGTATAGATCACGAAGAATTGCTTCAGAAAAATCCTTGCCGAAACTTTCCCAGTCAAATCAGGATCTCAACGATAGTAAAGGTAACTTACACCAGCATAAACCTCGATGACTTGTAATTTCATTATTATTGTAAGTAGTTTAAACCCGAAAACAGGCACCCAGATAATTTGGAGATTGCAAGAGTACTAAATCGAAGCATTGCATTCGACATTTTACAAGTATTAAAGTGATAAGTATTGGTAATAGAATGTTGACATTTTAAGAATTCGGACCAGTCTCGTTTGACGTTTATACAGATTGCTTTAATATAGTCGATAACTTTTGATAAATTAAGAATTTAAACGAATGATAAAACTGAGACACATGTGAGACTATCTTTTACTTAGAAGACAATAAACAGGGGACAACACTCAGCGACAAAACAGTGGTTTTCAATTAATGCTTAACCAAAATAATTATAGCAGGTCGTGCTACAACCAAAGACGTGACTGCTACGTAGGGTTTGTTATTCGTAAATCTAAATAAATTTTTAGTTTCAAATTTAAAACTGACGCTTCGGAACTAGTTCATCAGGTACAGATATTATGGTAACAATTCTACCAGAACACAGAATTTGCACTTCATGTTGATATGTTTGAGGTGATATTAAATTGCTGCAGCATTAAATATTCGGGGAATATAGGTTAACTGCCGTTTTATACTTGCAACTGTTAAATTAACCTAGAAACTATCGACAATCTAGTGCGCATTGTACATCAAATACGTGCTTATGAATGTTATTGAAACTTCGAGCAGATGGAGATTAAGTAACTTTGGTTCACATAAACTGTCGTATCAGATAGTGAATTAAGGTAGAAAAAATCTGCTGTGAAAAGCTTAAATTAACTCACTAGCTACTAACCCATTGAGAATCCATTGCTCGATAAAATGAGTTTTTAAATCGAGAAGAGTACTGAATATTATAGACTGTTTTAACGAGAGCACTTGTTTAGATGACCTCTAACCTGTTCTGAATAATTTTCTAACCTGTTCTGGAGAACCAAGGCAACGCTCCTAGGGTATCGTCCACTGTTGGGGGTTGCGAGCACTTAAAGGTCAAACTGTCGCAAAATGATTGGTGCGTCACATCGACAATTCGTGAAAATTTTCAGAAGCGGTCAAATCAAGACATTTTTAGATTTGAATTGAGTTCAGCCACACTATGTCTGATAACGTTCATTCTTCAAGTAACGAAGACGATTCCATCGTGATGATGCATGATATAGGACGAATCTTCAATGATATTATGTTATCTCGAAGATTTACAAGTTGGGACAATTTTGAGACCTGTTTGAAAGAAGTACATAAGGTAATATGACCTCTGTGGTTAATAATTATTTTTTTAGTATACGCATACTAAGTACGTTATGTCAGTATGCAAAAAGAACAGTGATGATCCAACTCTAAAGTACTTTTTCGTGAGATATGTCTGTACATATGGACGTAAACGCAGTTCGTCAGAGTCAGATGCTTGCGTTCAGGATGTAGATGATGATAGTAATAATCATTCTTCTGAAGAGCATACAACTTCTAACTCGCCAACACAACCTAGGCAAAGGAGACGACGTCGGTCATCTACGTATGCCTTACTTCAAATGAATTTATCCTTCAGGTCGAAATATTGCCACTGTAAATCAGGATTTTGGGTCCGGGCACTGAATGGTGAGTTGAAACTCACCTCTATTAAAACCGTACACAACCATCCTTGCACAGAAGGATATATTTCTGTCGATCCATCGAAACGACAGTTGACCTCAAGTGAACGCTTGTATTTAAGAACGTTTCTACTGAGTAATACACCAACTCGTAGCTTACGGTATCTGGTTTCTTTGAAGTTCAATAAACAACTTACCAAGGACGATATCGCCAGAATGCGTTCACAGTTGTACCCAGGTTGTTGAACTCACATTGTAATTAATTGAGTTTAGACACTAAAAATATCAATAACATTTTACAGCGCATTCAAGGAAATACTGAAGTTAAAGTATTCTATGAAAATGGGAACATGTCTATGATTTGCTTCAGCCGCAGAGAGCAAATAGCTGTTTACCACGCGTTCCCGGAAGTAATATGTATTGATTCGACTTATCAGACCAATAAAGTCGGGTAAGTTACGATTAGTAATAAATTTATCTGAAAGTTTTCCACTGTTCCAGCTAGTGGTCACTGATAATCTTGGGCAAGGGCACACTGTTATGTATGCTCTTTGCAGTCAAGAACGACGCGAAGATATCGAAAAACTATTGGAATGTTTTAAAGAGATAATGTGCGGTACTTATGCTACACGCACTTTCATTATGGATTCGGCAGCGACCGAAATTTCGGCTGTGCAGTCTACGCACAGTCATTCTAACATAATACTTTCTTCATTCCATGTCCTAGGAGCGTTTTACAGGAAGGTATGTGTTAGCTGTACAAATTATTTTCTGTAGTTCCGAAATCCTGATGTGCGCAAATGCTTGGAACAGCTTGTGAAGACTAGACGGTCTGATATGTGAGCTTCGCTTTTCATAGCGCATTATATTCAGATTTACTCGAAAGTACGAACATCTAAGAACGCATTTTCCACGGGCGTATGATTACATAAAAGATTACTGGATTGCCAGGAAGTCAATGTGGGCTCGCTGTTACCGGCGACATGTATTAAGCCTGGGCAACCACACAAACAACCGTGTTGAAAGTGCTCATAAACACCTAAAAGAATGTCTCAGAAGAGGTGATTCCCTATTATTGACGTTCTGGAAAATTTGGAGTAAAACAGACATTGATCTACGTTTGCGTCCTTATGACGCTGTGAAGGATCTTCAACGTTTTCCTATTCTTCAGGTAAGAAATATAGTTAAATGTATCATTAATTCCAGGTTTCAATGTCATTTCGAACTCTTCTAAATGAGTTCACATCTTTTGCAGCTAAAATTGTAGCTGTAAATTATAAACGTGTTCGGACAATGAGACACGAATTTATAGAAGGAGAATACATCCGGTGCTACGACAAGGGTATGATGTATGTTGTTGATACTTCACGTGCACGATGTGCTTGTGAGCGTTTCAATGACTACATGCTGCCCTGTGGTCATATTTTGTATGCACATTCTAAAGATCTGATTCGCGGAGGTATGTGTGTTCCTTTATCTCTATAAGTTTTGTAGACTTATTTCGACATAGCAACCGGTGGACAAGAAAATACATAATGGACCTGGTTCTTCGTGCGCTGGACAACATCTCAATCTCTACAGGGAGTGATGATCTGCTAGAGAAGTTCACTAGCAACTACCACTCAATCCATGCTCTTAGTGAAGCTATGGCAAGTAAACTCATCCGTTGAGGTAGTCGTCCCGTGAATTCAGAATTTAAAAAAAGAAAAAAAGTCACAACCATATATCAATGACATGCTTTGGTACAGCCAAATACTTGTGTACATCTACACAAGAGGTAGTAATGCTATCTTAGCTTCGTCTTTGGTAGAATCTCCACATAATTATACCTCTACCGCATGATTATGATTTATTTCCTGCAATACAATCATCTGGTGGCTAATATATCTAACTGTAGGAGGTGATATTAACATCTTAATATGTGTTATTATCATCTATAGCATATACATAATATTTACAACACTCAGGACACCTTATGTTTTCACTATAAACCTATTTCTGCCATAAAAGTCGAACAAAACAGTGAAAATCAGCAGAAATTGTGATAAAGATAGGAAAAACGATAAATCTTACCATGGTATCGTTAGTTGTAACGCAGTTTTCGTAGCCTTGACGACAATACAATTTTTATGACGATATATGCCTGAATCTTCCTATTTCATATAAAAATAAAAGATTTGTCTACCATCAGTGTATACCTAAGTAGAAATAATTGCTAATCTGCGATGCAAACATCGAAAAACTATTATAGCAGCACCTGAATAATGAATTTTCAAGGACTTCACGATACCATGTAACGCAAAATGGAAAAACCCCTTTTTACCCAATTATGAAAACGGAAAATAGACTTTCAAATTTATTCATAATGTATTTCGAAATTTGGTTGTGCACAAAGCAGAAATGAAAAAGTAGCGCAAAAAAGTGTCGCGATACCCCTGGAGCGCTGCCGAGAACCAATGACCTCCAAAGTAGAATAACCGCTCTAGCACGCTCTGGAGAACTATTCAAAATAAAAGGATAATGACTCAATAAACTTTTTTTTATTGTGGTCTGACCCCGTTAAACATCTCCTCAGACTTGAAAAAATGTGTGACTTGGTTTTTTATCAGAATATGTTCTTGAATTTTAGAAGAGAGCTGTTGTATACACGTTTCTAATAATCTTCGTATTAAATCCTAAGGAGAATGAAGATATAAAATATTAGACCCGATAATCAGTATCTTGTCAATGAGAAAATATAAAACAATTGTTTGGTGGCACTGCCTATTTGAAATCAAGCAGTCGCTACATATCTACAATCGTTTTTAGACTAGGTAGGTCATGCCAAAAGATTTCAATAGATCTGAAAACTCTGACATATATTTGAATACTATCACGTTATGCGAAAACTTTATACAGTAGATTTTTTCTGAAGCCTGCACTCTTAGCAACGGCTGGATAGCTTGTGTTATATTCTGTTGGTCCGGGTGCTTCTTGCTCTACACATGAACTTATCGAAAGTATTAACTTTTGGGACTTTTAAGAACCCCCGCACGTTCGAGTCACTTACTAACTGAATGTCGTAAATACGATTCTCAGCCAGGTCTGAGCGTTTCGGTACTTCTATTTTAAAAACAACGAGACTTAGTGGATTCCGACTATTTACGTATATCTCACTACAGTTGCAAAAAATTACTATTTCGATCGAATATATGGTGTTTAAGTTAGTGTAGGGCCGGTGGAATGTCACCGAGCTCTAGACAAATCAACCGACTGTTGGGTCACTGAATATCGAATAGATCATCGATCCCTGTCAAGGTCAAGGACAACCAACATGCATCAGCTAACCGTATGCCATAGACTAGTCATACGGTGGTGCCCTCAAAATCTTCTCTGTGTTCATTCATACTAATATATCTCCGTAATGACGTCCCTTGTCTTATACAGTTTTCATAGCAGCCATAGTACCTTGATACGTCAAAGGAGTAGTTCAAGTTAGGTGCTGACTTCGAGGAGTGACTTTTAGTCACATTATTTCCGTCTAACTACAGTAGGCCTCCAATAATTCTGTATATATAATCTATGTTAGTAGTCTACATTTGTACAATATAACAATTTGTTGACGAAATCGTTTAGAATCACCTCAAAGTTTTCTGTTTGTACGTCTTTCAAACTCTTGATGGCACTGCTGATGCTAATTTCCTCTATATCTGACTCCAATAAATGATATCCCATTAACTGAGTATTTTAGGTAGGCTAAATCTCCTAATAGAATTGTGGATTTACTCGAGATTATTCAGAAGCCTGAACACCAGTTGTAGAAATATTTTTATTGTTAAAGATAAATAAAATCTGCAAGCGTACAGTGAGCAAGCACACTGTGAAACCAAGAGAGGGTGTTTGTGCGTGTGTGTGTGAGAGAGAGAGTTAAAAATCCTTATATATTTTTGAGTGTAAATCAAGTGTAGATAAATTATTGATTATCTGTATGTTACAACCAATAGGTTGATGTGCAGACAAGCGCTCAATCATACACACACAGAAATTAACATAGTGAATTAAGTGTCTGAATTGCAGTCAGTACACAAATAATACAATAGTTTAATGGGATTGCTACAGCACCAAAGACTGGGATATTTAACATTTACAAAGACTAAAAAAATGTTGAAATATCGATATAGGCCTCGAAACAGCAAGTACTATGGAACTACACAGGTCATTACGAATAAAGTGTATAATT